TTTTGAAAAGATGAGGTATCTGTTTGTAGTAGATCCTCAGTGGGTTTAAATCTGTGCTGGGCCATTGAATTCAGTCAAGTGACACAGACTGTCGGAGAGCTGGCATGTTAATTTTAATCTAGCAGCAAAAACCTGCCTGCTCTCTAAATTTTATAAATTATTGATTCAGAATCAATGAGACTGTGCAAGAGTTAATTGGTCCCTCTGGTCATTTCCCAATGCTTCTGTGAACTTCATTGGTTTTAGATAAAGGCTTTTTGCTGAGCTGTAGGCTGAAATATTCCCAGAGTTTGAACAAGTTCATGTTCTTTATTTGCTTTTTAAATAGTATATTTTGAGGCCAAGCCTTGGCAAGGAACAATGAGGTCAGGATATTTGCTTGGTAAGGAAAAATGTGAGATTTAGAATTGGCTTCTTACATGAATTTGGTCTTGAAAAACTGTAACTTAAAAAGTAAAAATAATTTTTTTTTAGCCAACTTATAATATTTGTGGCTATAGATCAAGGAATTTAGTCATGAATAATTAAGAGTGTACATGTTTAGAATTATCCAATGTGTGTGTTTATGTATTAGTTCCTTTATTTTTTGCTTATCAAGTATTTATGTTGCACTTATATGATTTTTAAACTTTTTCCACTTATTTATCTTTTAAATTGAACAATAGAATCTTTTTACCATCAAAACTGTCAAGTTCCATCTGAGGAATTTTTTAACAAAACTAGAAATAAATAGGCCAAAAGGTTCCTCATATAAAGGAACTTAAAAAATATGTCCTGAACTGATCTTCCAACCTTGTTTTATAACAAAATAAAGAAAATCAAAAAGTATTCTGTTTAAATTACTATAAGCAAAAATGACACTAAACTCACTGCATGTCCTTCCATCCATGTTTATAGGATAGTTCAACAAGTTTAATTATATTAGGTGGAGCTAACTCATTTCAAATCTAGAACAAATTTTGGAGGTCAAATAAGGATACTGAATTTATTAATACTTCTGTGAATCTATGTATTTATGAACATAGAAACATCTAAGCCATAAATATCTCAACATTAACTGATTCATAAACACATTTGTAAGTACTAAGTTATTTGTGAGCTTGATGACACATTTGCATAGGCATGTAAAGAGGTCCTATGGGATGCCCTTGTCTCTCCAGATAGGCTACCCAGGCTGTTGGATACAGATTTGTAGAAGCAGATATACAGGTAGACGAGAATTAGTTAATCTTCAGGGTGATCTTTTCATGTACTGGTTAGCAAAGTGGAGCAGCTTGAATATGAATAGTGTAACCCATGGCTGTTAAAAATTTCTGTCAAGTGCTGTAATGTTGCATGGTTACTAGGGACTACTGAGTACTGTCATGTACTAGTGACCTCTTGATGTTTACCACAGGTTACTTCTAAATTTGAGGATTTTAAAAGGAGGTGATGATGTTGTTAAGAGCCCTTAAGTCTTAGCAATTTTCCAGTACTTCGCATTTAAACTTTTTTAAAGCCTGCTTTGCAATTGTCCATATGCTAATATTTCAGGCAACTCTCAACTTTCTCAGTACAAGTATTATATTCTTCTTCCAAGTTTTTCCATTCAGAGACAATTCACAGCTTTAGGAAACTGTGTATTGTTGAGATATTGATGATCTTCACAGTAAAGAGGATGAAGAATACTCGAGATAGCAACAGTGCCGAAATTAGCTGATTTTGTTTATGTCTATGGCAATAAACAGAAAATGGTGGACTGACTGTAAACATTTAGAAAACATTGAACCTTGTCAAAAGAGTATACAAAGGTGCATTTTTTTTAGGGGAGAACTTGAAGTATTTAGTGTTGTAGGGCCTCGCTTCTAATTACCCTGACATTTTGTGTAAATCAAAATCTAAATTGGTTATCTAAATTCTCTATAGTGTACGTGCTGAGAATTAAAAGCTTTTGAATGGGATCCATGAAGGCGATGCACTAAGCAGAGGTACCTATGCTAGGTACAAGAAAAAGTGGAAAAGCCTGAGTCCTGCAATCCAGAAAAGGTGGAGCCTCTCCAACTGGGCCACCTTCTGGTTGGGATTCAAAGAGAGGAATTACATTCAAGAGTTAGCCATAGCACTTTAACCTAAGCCAGTCACTTTTTAACCTTTTTTAATCTGTAGATCATTAGAGACTACCATTAGACCCTTGCAGAAAGAGTAGGTTTACAGGCAAGAAGGGTGCTTTCTGTTATTACATTTTGTCATTTTCTAAGAAGTGAGTTTATAGTAATTCAAGTGGAAAATGTACAGTCTAAGACGACTGCAACATTGTCATATTTATTCCCTAAATAAAAACACGGCTTCAAAGGAGAATGGATAAATATATATTTTCATACACCAGGAAAAGTTTGTGCAACTCAGAAAGTCTAGCCTTCCTATTATAAGTTATGGCCAGTTACAAATATTTCTAAAGCCAAATATTATTCATTCTCAGAAGACCTTAGTTAACCCTTTCCATATTTATTATTTATAGTCTTTTTCTTTGAGGTGAGTGGTACTCTGCACAGATATAAGTGGAGATACTAGTAAACTCACTTGGCATGGTAGAGACAAAATGAATAAGGATTATAAAGACTACTTGGAGGAGAGAAGTGAAAAAATAAAAAAAAAGAATTGTTATATGGCATGATTGTTATATAAACATGAAAGTATTATGCAAAAAAAGTTTTATTTTTATTTAACAGGACTATTGGTAGTATATGCTATATTCTGAAAGCTGTTGATGAGGACACTCTACAGTTTTGATGATATATATGTTTCCATTTTTTTCCTGACACTGAGCAGTAAGGTATTTAGGTTTGATGTGGAAGACAGTCTCTCTTGTAAGGATGTGCTTTCTTAAGAAATTCTGTGGCATTGGTAGAATCATATGTACCACTGTGCTCCTGGGGAGTCCATCTCAGCTTATGCATTCCACATTTTCCGTGAGTACTTTTGCATACTCCATCACAATACACACCCCTCAAAATGGTGTACGTTTCACAACTCATTTCTAGTTCCTTGTATCTGAAACTTGGGGTTAAAGAAGTTTTCCGGCAAACAGAATTTGCCTTGTTTAATGGCAAAAAAGGAAAAAAAAAACTTGAAATCAAGCATAATTCTGAGTATATAATAAGAGGGGAGTAAGAGAAAGGAGACAGGAAAATGTTGGGTTGCTCTTCCATCTAACTGATATTGCATCAACATTTCCACAGTAGGGAAGGGTCTGAAGGCCTGGACAATATGTGAGAAACTTGCAAGGGGGTAGCTGCGTGCTGGTACTTCAGTTGGTGTCATGACTTGCAACAAATCAAAACAATCAATATTCAGGTATAATAGGGTGTTGGAATCTGGGGTTTCTTTTTGTTTTAGAGTTGTCTGACAGATAAGATGTGAAACCAATAACATGAACGTTTGTATTAAACAAAGAACCATCTTTTTACAGGCAATGAACTATTAGCTTCTGGTGTCCTGATCATATGCCAAATTAGGTTACACAGATTCTAACAGCCTCAATTCCCTTTGGTAGTTTTATTTGCTCTAGTTACTCTTTGCTTCTCCTCCTGGGACCAGATTCTACCATTGAATGTGAATGTTTCTGTTGACTCACATCCAAGGGCAGGCTCTGGCTGCTGGAAATGGTTGTGTATTGTAGTGCTACTGGCCCTGAACTGATTTGTTCCATCCAAGGGGTAGTTCCATTGCACTCAAACTATGATCTTTTTATTCATGCAGGGTATTTGGAAAAGGAATAGGGAAGAGAAATAGAGAGTAAGGAATAACACAGCCTTGAATTATGAAACTTGTATAGAACATTTGACTGTAATAGGGTCCTACTGACCTTTCCAAAATTGAGAGGGTGTGATGCTTTTACAGACTGCTGACATTTGCAGTCTTCAAAATTTGGATAGTTGTAACCCACAATTAGGGGCTTACTAAGGACCTCCTTATGAAGATGAATTTTTGATGAGACACAGATGCTTGTCAGGACCATGTTAAAAAAAATCTAAGTAGCTGAATTTTTGTTCTTCCTAGGATCTTCAGGTTTTTTGGCATTTCTAGTTAAAGTGCTAATGAATCTAAGAGGCTACAGAGAGTACAAATGAGGCAGTATCCTTGTATAGCACACTTACAATATTTTACTGTTTCCTTTCCCTCAATTAGTGATATCTGTTTGCTTGTATTGTTTTTTAAAGAACTGAAAAGTGTTATAGATTGGGCTAAATATATTTAGTGAAGCTAAAGGAACCGTCTCTCATCTCCCTTACAGCTGTACAAATCAGGAGCACTAAGCTGACATAAAGAGTTTGGTGATATAAAACCAGAGTGTGAGAATAGACCATCTCAATGCAATATCAAAACAAATGAAAAGTGTGAATGTAATAATTTGTTACTGAAATGCTGAATAATGAAAGAGGATTAGATAGCAGGTGCTGGTAGGTGGAGGAATAGAGAATATGAGAGTGCTTAGCACTATCTGTTCCTGCTGCTATTGCCCTATTATCTGCATGTTTCTTCTGCAGGCTTCTAAACATCTGTTTATAACTCTGCTGGATTTGCAAACTGCACCCTTGGTTTCAACAGGAAAGTGTTAGCTTTGCAGTGGAAGAGTTTGGTTCTATTTGTGCTGCTTTTTTCCATGGGTACCTTGCTCCCATCTCTGACCTCAAACTCTGCCAATTGACTAAAAGCTGAGAACAATTCATGCAAATTGCATATTTACTAAAGAGAGTAGATTGAACAACAGCAAATGTAAATGTTGCCTATGCTATGTTCTCATTAAAACCATATGGGAAATACTCTGTGACCTGACATAATGCTTCTGCTTCTTTTGTTTGCAATTAACTCTGTTAATTCGTATTACAGCAACACCAGAGTAACAGTCACGGATTGAGTCTTCAGTGTGCTCGGGGCTGCACACAGCAAAGGGGTATTCCCTGTCTCAAAGAGCGAACAATGGTACTCACTGGTAATCCATAATTTTCTTTATTCTCCTATTCTCTGAATGTTCATTTTTGTTGGCATAATAATCAGAAGACTTTCAGTCTTAACAATAGGGCTTTCAGTCCTAACAGTGTTACAATGGTGTAACTGCACATTACAGGGTCTAAGAGACTTAGATCTTTGCAACATTGGCAAATTAGGTAGCTGCCCTCTTTAGAAAGATACATTTTCTAGAGAGGAATACACCTCTGTTTCTCTTAAAGCTTTGCTTTTTCTTTAGCAATGGCACTTAACTCATCTCCTGATCTCCATACAGTTTTCTATAGAGAGTATATATTACCATAGCTTTTGAAATATACTGGAAAACAGGAGGCTATTTCCAGACCTGGATCCAAAGTAAAGTCCTATTTGGAAGCTAAAAAAATGTTTCAGTGGCAAAACATTACTTTACTAGCTAGGAAAAGCTTTTCTATATTTTTATAGTTTAAAATACCTGTTTGTCTCTGATTTGGCCTACCTATAAACAGCATTACCTCTTAGTGACATCTGCTGGAACAGATAGCATTGAAACATGCTCAAATTTCCTCCACACTTACTACCTGCCAGCATGTAGCTCCTAAGGGAAAAAGCAAATCACTCTATTTCAGAACAGTGCTTGGCCAGTTCAGGTTTGAATTTTTCGTTATCCCCGCAGGGCAACTCCTCTCCGCCTCCTTCTTGTCCTTACATAAAGAGAAAGACCCACGTGCCAATATGACAAAGATCCAGAAAGTTATAAAAGCTTCATTGTAAGTCTAAATCCTTAGCAGAGATTCAAACAGCTTGCACTAAGGAAAACAGAGGTTCTACAGTAAGGCAGGAAGTCATTAAAATAATGAATCACTCTGCAGAATCTAGAGTTTTTCTATACAGTTTATGCATTTTTGCAAGAACACTTACACTTTCAAGACTGTCATTTTGAGCTGCATCCTCCGTGTAGGTTTCTTATTTTACTTCAACTCCTTTCTTTACTAAGAAAACTGCTGGAGAATTTTTGTAATGAAGTAAAATGGGAATCTTTCCGTTCTTGCTTTAAGGTCTTTATTACTGTACCTATCTCATTATTGCTTAATATTAACTCTATTGTTACTGTAACTCTATAATTTTACTCTTTGGTAAATCTTGTAGTCATTGCAGGAAAGTATACATATTACTGCATAAGACTAGTGACTGAATTGTTTCATAAACATATCCAGGCATATGTGAATAAGGCTGCAAAGTAAAAGTAGAAGATGAAGATTTTTCCAAACACGCTGTTCTGATTGTTCTATGTTCTCATGCAAGCGATGTGACAGACTGATCCTGGAACTCTCTGTGCCAACCAATGAGAAGATATTCTACTTTTTCAGAGGAAGTCCAGAATTTTCTCTGCAAAATAAGACAAACGCGAGTTTAGAGCAGACATCTAACTCTTCCCTGGCTAATGTTAGGTGAGGTGAATTACACCTATCTTAACTGCAAGGTATCTGCTAACAGTTTATATTGTGTATAGAAGCTTGTAGAGGAAAAGCAAGGTTTGCAGGTGAAGGAAACAATGTTTATGACATCATTCCATCCTATAGCTGGGAAATGTTGACCAGTCTTGGGGTATACAATCTTAATGTCTGAAATGCACATGAGTTCTTAAACTATTCTGCATCTCTTGAATATGCTTCCTAGATCACCTCCTGGATGACATATATTGCCTTTGCACTTGAAACTCATCAGGTTTGAGAAATGAAAGCCAGTATTTATAGCAGGCTGATTATTCTCACCTCACCTAGTAAAATGCAGTGAGTGTTTTTTTAAAAAAACTTTTTTTGTTGTTTTTAACCTCTACAGCTCTAATGCAAATAGTCCACTGTAATTCGCAAAAAAACCCTTTTTCCTGAGGTTTCAATTAGGAGTCAGATCTACCAAAGAGGTAATCCTCTGGGCTCCATTGGAACTATATTAAGATGATTACATCCCAGAGACTTCATCAGGAAGTAGGTATAGTAACACATGTCACCATCTCTCTTGGACAATTTGTAGTATGATTATATGGCAATTAACCTCCAGTGGAGGAAGCAATTGCTGTAGTAAAAGGAACAGCATATCAGTAATATACACATCATAATAAATGAAACATGTAACTAAATAGTTTCATTTCTTGTGACAATATAATTGGAACTCTTTCATGCAGATTCCTGACCCTTGCTGAGTCTAAAGCCAAATGCCATCTCACCGACTTTTGCTTGTTCACTAAACTCTGCTGTTACTATAGCTTTATCCTGCTGAGCTGGCTGGGATTCTTTTCCCTCAAATTAGATAGCCAAGGCTGCAGTAAGACTCCCAAGGCTTCCTTTACAGTGGAAAGAAGTAGATATCTCTAGAGAGAGATTCTATTCGTTGTAACGCAGGTGTCTGACAGAAGGGAAGCAACACGCCTCTGGAGGTGCCTAGACTCTAGAGGGAGTCTAAGGGGACTAGTTTAGATGTTTAAAATTAGGTGAGAGAAATTTCGTAGCGTGCGCTCGTAGTAGCTGACCCTTTTTAGTATAGAAAAGAGAACAGATTAGCAGTCTTTTTGCCTTAGATACCAGTTTGTGAATGCAATGTATTTTTAACCCAAGGCATGTCTATACTATAATCAAGAGATTTAGACAGCATGGGTTTTAGCTGCCAAGTATGTATCAAGGATCTTGAGTAACTTTTTGTAGTCTATGCTGAAGTCCAGTTGCTAGTCCAGTTGCTACAGTTTTATTCCTCTCAATATCTAAGCTTTCTAGATTTAAATCATACCTGACTGCAGAGCAATCATATCTATGGGCAATATTCTATCACTAAACAACTGCTTTGCGCATCAGAAACAAGTCTGCAGTAAATTACCTCATGGAAGGTTTTCACCAAATTGTTTTTGCAGCTACTGTAAACTGAAAAGATAAGAACACCTAGAAGCTAAATGTAAAAGAGACTGTAAATGATGGTATGAGTTTTTATTCCTTCTTATTATGATATTCTCATGTATATCTTAGATAATCTCTTCATTTGCCCTTTATAAGGCATTGGGTGCTCGGGTAGTGGTTTATAGTGATATATTTTTGTCACTGAAAGTGACTATTAAGCTATACATTTAAATCCAATATAAAGCCTATTTTTTCCCTATTGTATTGTAATTAAATTATTGACAATTTCTCATTTCACAGGTCCATTTCACTTAGAATTGCTGACACATTTTATTAGTATGAATGTGGCACCATACTGACTGCTAAAGACATTTTGCACTGTCTTTCTCCAGTCCTAGCTGAATTCCTTTATCACATATGAGGTCCAGAAAGTGGCCACTAAAATGGTCTTTTGTTCATGTACATTGAGGACTAATCCATATTTTCATTGTTGACCATTCCCTGTTTTTTCAGTTGGGATATAGTTTACATCTGGCTTTTCTCTGGGATTAGTGACTTGGCATCTGTTGGCAGGCATCCATTTCTATGTGTGAAAAAAAAAATTCTTGAGGGATACAATTTCAACATGCCCCCAAAGCACTCTGAAGAGGACATTGAGCTTTGTAGGCATCTCCATCTCTCTTTTGTGAAAAAATACATTCATTTCCTGAGCTTTTGAATTCCTGAAATATGTGTTTCATAGCATTAAAAAAGGCACTCCCTATAAGATATAACTTTCTTTTTTTTACCTCCTCATAATCAAGTGTAGTCTGACTTCCAGATGCTGATGATTTCTCTGATGTCACTAATGTAATTACTACAATTTGAAGAGTGTGACTTAAAATTCATGTAATTAAGTGTGTGGCATTACTCCTATTGAAATTCAAGCAAGGTTACTGATTCATTTAATAGAAACAGGATCAAGTTTTATGATTTTGGTAACTTTATTCAGTCAGAAGAGCAATTGCATGCTTATTTTCTAGTGCTCTAAGAGCAGCTGAAGTGCTGCAATTGAACAACAACAAAAAAGTTTTCAGATTTTGAGATAAAATGTATATTGTACCATTGATGGTCCAGTCAGATTGGCCTCTGTCATAGATATAATTCACAATTCCCTCCTCCTAAAAAAAAGGAAATAAAAATGATAAGGCATCTCCAAATTTTTGTTTACTTTTTTGCTTTGTTTTGGATGAGAATTAAAGCTCAGAAGCAGAGGAAAAAAGTTTCAGCTTACCTGACTGGCGTTTTATTAAGCAATATGACCCCCTCCTTCAATTTCTAAAAAACCTATAGGAATCTATTTTGTTTTGTTTTTGTTTATATCTTCTTATAAAGGGGAAATTATCAGAGATAGGAAAGCTGACTTCCTACAGAATTAAATCCATTTGGGTTCTCCATCCTTTTCAGATATGCACAGAAGCTTTTCTTCAGTATCATCTGTTAGCAAACCTATTTTTTCACTTGTCTCTTCATATTGTAATATAGCACGTATGTCGTGTTCTCTGAGGCTGAGCAAAACCTGCTTTTACCTCCTATTTCACTTAAATCTACCTCTTTGCAATTGGAGCTGATGAAGCACAAAAGGAAAATGACAATAATTATATAGGATTTAGCTGTACCAAATGAGTTATAGGGTTTGTTCTGCTATCAAGAAAATACCCTATAAACCTTAAAAAGGAGATTTGTTGTAATCGAATTACGGACTACTAGTAATCAAATTTGGTCACATAAAGTCAGTTCAGATTATGAAGACACTGTATGAATATTTAGACATTTTTATAGTCCTAAATAGTAAGGACTATTTAGGTAGGAGTGTGTGATCCTTATGTATGTTGACTAGGATATTTGTCTGGGAAAGGAGTCTTGGCACTATCTGCTTCACTGTAAGACGGGACCAGGGCAGCAAAGTGTCAGGAGTGCAAGGTTATAGTGGAATAAAATGCATTCCCAATCCTTCCTTTTGCAGTAAGGGTAGGAATGAATCTCTCTTGATATGAATTCAGAAACATAGATGAGGGTGAGAAGGGTGTCAAATAAAGTTAATTAGTTCACTCATCTTCTTGGACTGAAAAAAGCCTGCTCTCAGTCAATGGGCAGATATAAAAACAGGCTACATAGGGATTCGTTCTGCCTTTCCATATCTGAAAAACAGAAAGAGAGGCTCTATTTAGCACCAGAGATAGGAGAAAATTTTCATTTGGCTACTGGTAATTTGAAAGCGGTCCTGTTTGACACAATTTAAATTTCTTGGAGGGCATAAGAAAGCGAATATTGTCAAGAGGGAGAGATAGTCGGGTACATGTCTAACTCTATAGATGTTTTCATATTAGATCATGAAAAGGAAATGTTTTCTCTTGGAGAGAAATTTTCTTGGCAAGAAGAGCGCAAGTGGCTGCTCTCTGGCACTCTGGGCCAACCTCATCTTTGTGGTAAATCCACTCAAATCAGGGGCTTTATATCACAGATGAATGTAACTCACTTACCTTTCTACAGCCAGTGTAGCTAGCTTCTCTTAAAAGATGATATTGTCAAGTACAATAGGGCTTTAAGAAGTCTCAGCATTTTCCTAAATAGGAAGTTTTACCAGTGTCAGCTTAAGTTGTAAGAACTATGATGAAACATACCTTACTTCTATAATATTATCTTGTCAGTATTAACACAAAATCCACCTTCCCCCATTACAGTTGTAGTGACAGTCTTTCTCATCCAGCAATAGATTACTCACAATAAAAAAGCTTTTGCCAGTTTATGAACATGTACATGTTCATAAACATGTTCATAAACATGAACATAGGCAAATGAATATTTAACAAGAAAAAATCCCAAACAAGTATTCTTTTAACAATGTCATTACAGAAGACAAATATAAATGTTTAACCATTTTATCTTCTCACAATATTAGGTAGAAAGCTCTTATACAAACCTAGTAATTTATCCTCCTTCCTTTGCCAAATAATATCATGTTTTGCATTTTCTTAAAAAAATTAATGTGCAATAATCAATATATTTGTCCCCTTATCTATATACATCTGCTTCATGGATTTCACTATGGTAATATGGCTCATGTGGTTCCTTTCTTGAATTCCAACACAGATCTGCTGCTAGAGTTAATAAGGTGAGACCTAAAGTAGCCTAACTTCTGAGAAAAAGTTAGCAAAATAGAAGTAATAAAGAGAAGATTATCTAGCATAGATTCTATACATCTGCTTTGTAGTATAAGGATCTAATTCTCTGGATTCCTAGCCTTCTTCTCATTCAGAATGCCTTTGTAGTAGAAACATTTTGCATATTTATTATGTATTTAATTATGAAATGACCTAAATGATTCCAATATATTCCAGGATTGTTTAATTCCTATGCATCACTCTTCCACATCTGTTTCATGCTGTGCCATTTCTTTATATAGTGCAAGCACTATACAGATAAGTTGCAAAGAAGGAGATTCATGGCAAAATTACATTGACTTACTACTCTGTACTGATGTAATACGTTCTTGTCTTACAAAGGCAAAATAGTTTTTTCTTGAGTGTGCCATTATTCACGTCTACTTTCAATATTTATTTCCTGATTTTCTTACTGCATTAAAGCTCACATACCTTTTCTTATGGTTGAAAGGTATTGTTATGGGGGTGAAATGACTTCAGGCTCTTTATGACTGAAGGAAGAATACCAAAGGGGAAACACACAAAAGCAGATATAATATGAGGACAGATTTTCAATTTCAAATTTCCCAGAAAGGAAACTTTGATTTCTACTACTGCAGAAATACACTTCAGCTAGGCTATTGCCTAATATATGCTTTCTAGTAGTTTGATAAGAGGATGATGCATTGCATTGAAGCTAGACCCAACAGAAGATGGAGAGGAGAGGAGATGACAATTTGTTTGGGCCTGGCTGTTAAACATTCTTTTATTCTCCCTTATTTTACTGCATTAGTCTTTGGCAGGAGAAGATTCCATACAACACTATGGTTAAGGCTGAAGCTGGTTTCTGACTTTGGACCAGAATCTGAATCATGCATGATGATGGAAAAACATGTTAAAACAGTGACATTTACAACTAAAAAAAAAAAAAAAGTCCTACCTGAGTTACAAAGATCACTAAGGTCAAGCCAATCACTGTAGCACATTGTGAAACTTCATACAATTTCTGTTACTTCTGTTTTGCTTTAGAGAAGCAGTGAATGGGTGGCTATTTTACACAGCATACTTAGTTTGTATCTTAAAATAGTTGGAGGAAATCAAAGCCAGCCACTCAAGCTGGCCACAGGTAAATCCAGAAGATTATCTCTCTTTGATATACTAGTTAAAATAAATCTGCTTTTTAAAACATCTCCTAATTTTCTTCTACACAGTTTAAAACCAGACATACCTGAATTATCAATACTAGAAGATTACTGGGAGGATTTGTTTCCTTCCTCCTTTTCCAAACATGATGAAATCAATGTATTTTGAAACGATCAGGATCTATTCTGTACACTTTGCACAATGTGCTATCCTCAAAAACTGGACATACAAACTTTGCAGTTTTAAAGAATGCCCTTGGAAGCGGAGTAAACGTCTATAAAAAGTCAGATGGGATTTTATTACTTCTAAGAAGGCTGTTGCAATCCATATGCAGTAGACTTATCTGTATGAATATGAGATGGATTGAAAATTAAGCTGCAAGTACACAGAATATTTTTTTTCCTATTGTTACTGTTGTTACTGGTTGTTTGTATATATCTTTGTTTCTAAGATACCGGTAAAATTAAAACCAAATGCTGTCTTCCCTTGGATAGATTTTCATGCTTTTTCTACTTCTTATCACCAGCTAAGTTATTCATCATATAACCGTCTGGTAAGCAATACAGGGTAACTTAAGCATTTTTAGAAGTTCCTTAATTTTAAATTAATTTGTGACTGAGTGGAGCAGAGATTTCTTTCATGTGATTAGACAGTTGCCTTATCCTGGTATCTCTTTAAGGTTTAAGGATAAGAAGAGCCTGTGATGTGATATCACTTAAGTCAGTAGACTTTCCATTGCTTTTGATGGACTGGATCTTCTTGATTTTCAGGGTTAGCTTTTTCTAGATTTACTTGAGCGAGATGATCCATTATGTGGGCTTTTTTGGTCCCTCTTTCTTTTCTTCCCCTTTATCACAATCACATTTATGCTCTTGTAGTAAGACATTGTGTTGTTGTTGTTGTTCCTTCCTCTTTGATTTGTCCTCTGTTCAGAGAGAATAGTGCTGGTTATGATTATAGTGAAGTTTTGTTTAAATCTGTGCCTGATGAGAATCATGACTGAAGAACATTCAGGAGCATGTCTGCTGATGGCACTGGGTGACAAAGCTGGGGTTACAAAGCCATTGTCCCACGCCACCATATCTCTCTTGCAGAGATTCAATCTCACGAGTAGAGTATTCACAGAATTTCAGAAAGAAAGAATAAGGCCTGGAAATCATGGTAATACCTACTGTAGCTTTATATTTTGTTGAGGTGGATAATGCTTTGTGTTTGAGCAAAAATAATTTTTGCTCAATACCACAATGAATTAGTATGATGTAAGACAATGGACACAATGGATACAATGGAAAGTTATTTGCATACCAGACAGCAAAATAATTTTCTCTTCTACCTGCTTTATTCTGACATTTAAAAGGGAACTAGCTTCACCTACCTTTACCTAGAGAAACATTCAGCATCTAATGATCTAAAGTCTTTCCTCAGAGTCCTGACGGAAACAAATCCTTTCTACTGTAAGCATAGGGGGTACAGTCATTCTCCAGAAGCACATTACTCTTTCCATTGCCATAAGGGAGCCTAGGAATGTGATGACTAGAAATTTTAAACAGTTCAAGTTACATTAATACTTCAGTTTAGATGAATCCTTGTTTAGATGTTGTCTTCTGCTTCCAAAGGTACAAGCTTTTACACTAGTAATTGCACTAGTGATATATTTATGGGACTTTGGTGGGTCAGCAAAGAGGTAAAGTCATGACAAAGCAAAGAAGTCACTCTTAAAATGAGGAAGGGTTCCCAGTAACCACAAAACTGTCTGTGATTTTATATTGATGGCTATTGACGATGCTAGCTGCTAGATCAGGAGCTCATACTCCCAGAGAGCTCACTATTATTGGGGCCAGTAAGGATGATTATTAGAATAGAACAACAGAACCTTTCAATATTGCTTGATCTCATTTAGACCTTATTTCCACTATGGAAAAAAATAGTAAAGGTATTTGACATTTTTATATCAGGAATGTTTTTCATTTTTTTATTTTGAAATAACTTTTCCTTTCAAAATGATCTTCCTAATGTTATAAGATTGAAAAATATGGCAGTATAACTTTCTTTAAGTTAATCTGAAGAAAATATTTTTTTCTGGAAATTATGTTTCTTGGAAAGCTCTTTTTCTTTTTGCTCTTGTTCAGAATAAAACTAATTTGGAGCTGCAAAATTTTCTACGGAACGGAAATTTCAGTGTCGATATATTTCTAGATTTGCCTGAACTATCCAAGCTTTTGACAGTATTTTTCTCCTGCTATTCTGACAATTAAAAATATGTAGCTTTCAAAGAAATATAATTTACACTTTAATTCATATTTTTCTCTTGTACAACTAGAGTGAATCAGAAATATACTTTGCAAAATAAATGAAACCACAGACATTTTGTGATTTTATAAGTCAGAGGAGAATCTTGCATAAAGACTTAAATATTTTCTTTTTTATATGATATTCAGTGCTTCGAAGTAGAGAGTTTTTTTTTGGGGGGGATCTTATTTATTGATCTGATTTTTGGCTTCTAGAAATGAGAAGGGACAAAAGCTGCAATTAAACTCTACTGTTTCATAAAATGAAATAAATAAATAAATATATAAAAATCTATACAGCTGTTTTCACAGGCTGCTTTTGCTCCTTCAAAAAGTTATTTACACTCTTATGTTCACAACTATATTAAATCTTCAAAATAACTGTGCTTGCTGCCTACTTTAATTCTTGTCCTCAAAATTACTTAAAAGTCATTCTGGTAGTGTAAACAATTCTTCAAGGAATTTACATATTCCCCAGCATGAGGAAATCCATTTAGCAACACAAAACACAAGACATCAACACTTTTCAATCACATGCTAATTACACTGAACTGTATATTTGCAGAGTAAATATGAACAACGTACAAAGAACAGCAGCATCTACTACCATTATATTTCAGAGAGTGGCTGCATTTTAGTTCTCGTCTCTGATTTAGTCCATGATAATTTAAAAGAGACGCTTCTAAACAACCACTGTTATTTTATGGAAATCCATGAACAATATTCTGCTTTGAAAAAATTATGCTTATAGCTCAACTAATTTTCCTTCATAAGTATTGTTTTATTTAAATGTAAGACCTTTGTTGATGATAAGTGCATATACAAACATTGCTATTTCTTTAACTCAAGTCATAATCTTCTATTTCTGTTTGAAAAAGATCCTTTTAATTATCAGGTCTCTAACAGGCTCCTCTTTCATCCTTCACTGTCTCTCTTACTTTCTTTTCTCGAAGAGGTGCAATTCTATGGTGTGTAAGAACTGTTTACTCCAA